ACAAGCATATGACGGCAGAGTATAGGTGGCCCGCTCCAGCGCCATCCATTTTCAGGGCTAGTTGATTCGGCAGGTGAGTTGTTACACACTCCTTAGCGGATTCCGACTTCCATGGCCACCGTCCTGCTGTCTGTATCAACCAACACCTTTTATGGTGTCTAATGAGCGGGCACTTTGGCACCTCAACTCCGCGTTTGGTTCATCCCACATCGCCAGTTCTGCTTACCAAAAATGGCCCACTTGGAACTCGTATTCAACGCCAAAGTTCAAAATCAAGCAACTTTGACATCATACCCATTTAGAGTTTGAGAATAGGTTAAGAACATTTCGTTCCCAAGTCCTCTAATCATTCGCTTTACCGAGTATAACTTCTAATGAGCTCCAGCTATCCTGGGGGAAACTTCAGAGGGAATTAAATTTTTCAAAAAAAATAAAGCTTATAATAATAAACTTTAATCTTTTTTTTAATTTAAAGTTTATTAACCGCCGTTTTGAGGCCAGCTTGCTGGTACCCAAACAGCGTTAGCATCTTTTGTCTTGGACATTTGAGTATGGTTTACGGGCATTTATTGGTTCGATCTGATTGTAAGTTACGGTCGCATGCGACACGTGCTTTTCATTTAGATCGGTCCAGTTAATGCTCTCGTACTCGCTCCCCATGTAAAAGCCGGTCATCTATCCGACCCGTCTTGAAACACGGACCAAGGAGTTTATCGTGTGCGCAAGTTTTTGGGTGTTAAAAACCTAAAAGCGAAATGAAAGTAAATGGCTCTTTAGAGTCTGACGTGCGATCTTGTAAAAAAGGGCAGCATGGCCCCATTCTAACTGTTTACAGTAGGGTGGAGGAAGAGCGTACGCGGTGAGACCCGAAAGATGGTGAACTATTCCTGAGCAGGACGAAGCCAGAGGAAACTCTGGTGGAAGTCCGAAGCGGTTCTGACGTGCAAATCGATCGTCTGACTTGGGTATAGGGGCGAAAGACTAATCGAACCATCTAGTAGCTGGTTCCCTCTGAAGTTTCCCCCAGGATAGCTGGAGCTCATTAGTAGTTATACTCGGTAAAGCGAATGATTAGAGGACTTGGGAACGAAATGTTCTTAACCTATTCTCAAACTCTAAATGGGTATGATGTCAAAGTTGCTTGATTTTGAACTTTGGCGTTGAATACGAGTTCCAAGTGGGCCATTTTTGGTAAGCAGAACTGGCGATGTGGGATGAACCAAACGCGGAGTTGAGGTGCCAAAGTGCCCGCTCATTAGACACCATAAAAGGTGTTGGTTGATACAGACAGCAGGACGGTGGCCATGGAAGTCGGAATCCGCTAAGGAGTGTGTAACAACTCACCTGCCGAATCAACTAGCCCTGAAAATGGATGGCGCTGGAGCGGGCCACCTATACTCTGCCGTCATATGCTTGTATTTTCCGTGAAAAGTCTTGCAATGACGTGTAAGAGGGTCGTAGTGGTTGCAATGAAGGCTTTGGGTGTGCACCCAGCTGGAGCTTCCACTAGTGCAGATCTTGGTGGTAGTAGCAAATATTCAAGTGAGATCCTTGAAGACTGAAGTGGAGAAGGGTTCCACGTGAACAGTAGTTGAATGTGGGTCAGTCGATCCTAAGGCACCGGCTAAAGCCGTCTAGACACTGCGGGGAGATGAGATACTTAACGGTATATTGTCTACTCGGTTGCCGAAAGGGAAGTGGGTTAATATTCCCACACCAGGCATGGGAGATGGTGATCCGCAAGGATTACTTTGCGCGGTGACGCAAACGAACTCGTAGACCTCGTGTGGAGTCCGGGCCAGAGTTCTCTTTTCTGGTTTAGAGATCATGTCCCTGGAAGTGGCTCAGCCTGAGATAGGGATGCTGGTCTCGTAAAGCGCAGCGGTTCCTGTTGTGTCCCGTGTGCTCCACATGAGCCGTGAAAATACGAGGGAGGCAATTTAAAATCTCCAGCCTGATCGTACCCATATCCGCAGCAGGTCTCCAAGGTGAACAGCCTCTAGTCGATAGAATAATGTAGGTAAGGGAAGTCGGCAAATTAGATTCGTAACTTCGGGAAAAGAATTGGCTCTAAAGGTTGGGTCAGTCGGGCTGTTGTGTGAAACAGGTGGACTTTGCTCGTGGCTGCTTGATCTTCCCTTCGGGGCGGCGCTTGTGGACTAGTAGTGAGGACTGCTTGTGGAGCGCTTCAGCTGCGTACTATTTCGCAAGATATAGTACTTCGATTGGCGCTGAACAACCAGTTTAGAACTGGCACGAACTCCGGGAATCCG